TCTCTCTCTCTCTCTCTCACTCTCTCTCTCTCGCTCTCTCTCTCTCCACTCTCTTTCTCTTTCTCTCGCTCTTTTTCACTCTCTCTCTCTCTCTTTCTCTCTCCCTCTCCCCCTCGTCCCTCCCCCCTCTTTCACCTGCCCTTCCTTCTCTCCCACCCTCCCTCTCCCTCCCTCACGCGCTCTCTTTCTATCTATCTCCAGATGAAGGACATCCTCTACTTCTTCCTGTTTTTACTAATGTTCGTGGCCTCTTACGCCATCTCGTCAGAAGCCATCCTGTACCCCAACACAGAGCTCGGCCTTCTGACCTTCTACCATATACCCCGCAAGGCCTACTGGCAGATCTACGGGGAGCTCTTTCTGGATGATCTCGAGGGTACGTTTGCACCCAGGGCACACTCACAATCGAATTCAGCCAAAAAGTCTTTTTTATATTATTTTTATTATTATTATTATTATTATTATTACTAGTAATAAAAGTACCCGTTCTACGAACGGAATAATAAGGAAGAAGTATTAGGAAAGTTAAGAAGAGGAAAAAGACTGAAAACAGGAAAGAAACAAAACATTTAATATTTTACCTTGAATTTATCCACGTAGCACCCCCTCTTGACTACCTCTAGGGGTAAGACTTCTTCCCCTCTTTGAAGGCGTGGCATTTTCTCCTAAAGTGCCAGCTCAATCACTTTTTTTTTAAAGAGTTAGGCCTACATGGCCATTGTTGTTTCCTAGAAGAATCTAATCTAGATTATAGACCTAGCCTAGATCTCGAAGTCGAAGGATTATAAAGACATAGGCCAATAATTGAAAGAAGGAGCCTTGGCCCATAGAAAGATCTAAGTTTTAAAATTCAGATTTTTAACAACCAACAGGCGTCACAGATGGCCTAGATTGTTAGATCTATTCACAGTAGGAAAAATCCACTTTCAAGAATACTTTCATGATTCTTGATCTCGATCTAAGATTCACATAGATCTAGCCTAGTTCTACATCTTAGAATCTATAATGCTCTGCAAGAAAAATGCACTTTTGATATTCAATAGATTATCGAAATATCACAGATCTAGATTCTACTTTCCTTTCGTGATTCTTCTGGATCTCGATTTATCTCGAGGCCTACGGTAGGCTGAACTACTCTTTGCGCTTTCGACGACACCCTCTCTGTCACTCTCACCACCCTCCCTCCGTCAGTGCTTTCTGGCCTCATCTATCTCTTCCTCTCTCTCTCTCTCTCTCTCTCTCTCTCTCTCTCTCTCTC